CTCTGAGCTAACATCTATTGCCGATCCTCCTCCTTTTTTTCCCCAAAGCCCCAGTAGATAGTTGTATGTCATAGCTGCACATCCTTCTAGTTGCTGGACGTGGGACGCGGCCTCAGCATGGCCAGAGAAGCGGTGCGTCGGTGCGCGCCCGGGATCCAAACCCGGGTCGCCGGCAGCGGAGCGTGCGCACCCAACCGCCAAGCCACCGGGCCGGCCCAGAGTTTCAGTTTTTAAGTTGTCTAGTGATTAAACTGAAGGTTCAAAATGCTTATTCAATAAATATGGTATAATCTAAAAAGTTTCAGACAATGTGAAATTTTATGGAAAGCACAATAAACCATGTATATACCAAGATTATTTATTAGGAAACACATGATAATGTTTTCTGGATTTAAATCTCCATGAAGATCAATATCTCAAATATGAAAAAAGCCACAAATTTTCTGCCCTTAGTGGACTGTAAAATATTTAACCAGTTTAATTTCTTCCTGTCTCCACAGCATAAGAGAGAGAAGCTGAATTAAGCTGACAACAAAGAGCACATGCCTTTAAACCAGCAAGATGATGCAAACCCACTTAAATATATAATACGATCTAAATTTATCATTGACATATGACAATGATATATATGTTGTGTATATATGTACCTATGTATATGTATTTTTAAAATTTAGACTCGTGGAGTGTCATGTTTAAGCTATTTTCAACATAATTTGATTGATGATATCTTCAGCAAAATAGAACTTTGTTAGCAGACTCTTGCCTGCCTGCCCGTTTGGTCGTGGAATAGATTCTTCACTTGCAAGACATCATATAAGACATTTAATCACAAATATCTGTGAATGAAGCTACTGTATATTGTAATACAAGTGTTTCTTATATTTTGTCAGAAAAACCAATATCATGAAGAGATATTTCTATATATAGAAAGGAAGTTTAATCAGATTATATTTTTAAATTTTCAAGCCTTAAAATTCAGTCTAGTAGTTTTAGTTAGAATAAAATATAGTAGTTCTGATGCTGGTATTCAAGACTAGTAAGTAAATAAAGCAAAACTAAAAGAAAATTTACTTCCTTTGCTTTGATACAGCAGAAAAATGCAAGTAAAAATTAGGGATTCCAAGCACAAAAAAGCAGATAAGCCTTGTGAATTACATCTTCCTTCTCCAGTTGGTTAATCTTCCCCTACTGTCTTGCTGATCAAAGTTGAAGTGAAGCTGATGGAAGGGCTGGAATATAACTTAATATTTTTGCACTACTCTTTCAATGGCTACAGAGGTTAGGAGAGGCAAAAAGCTGAAATTATCTTCAATCTTCCACCTCAGTCTCACTGTTACACATTATCAGTTTGATCTTAACACTATGGAAGAATTAGAATGCTCTCATTTAACCTAGGGGTCAGCAAACATTTTCTGTAAAGGGCCATATAGTAAACATTTCAGGCTTTGTGGGTCAAGAGGTCAAATCGAGGATATTACATAGGTACTTATATAAAAAGAAAAAAAAGATCAACCAATAATTTTTATTGATGACATTAAAAAATATAATAATAATTAAGTATAATTTTTTGTAATACATATCTACTACTGAGAAGAATGATATTCTTTTGGGGGAAAACATTTCACTTAACCGAAATTCAAAGTTAGTGTTCCTTATCATCAAAATCAATTACAAATGTTAATCTGTCAATGCTGTGTTAAGATTTTATGCACTACATTTTTTAAAATGTCTTTTTCACACAGGTAAGTACTGCCAAATACTGATATTAATCTGCAAATGTATGATTTTAATTGAGCATATTCATTGCTTGGAAAGCATTTACAGAATTTTATTATATTCTTCTGATATTTGCCTTTTACCATGTTATTACATTGTAGCTTAATCACTTCTAATTGAAGGTTAGGAGGAAGCTCCTTAACTGCAGTTAAACGGATTTTGAAATATTTGCATCCAGGTCTGAAAAACACTGAAGAAAATACAGTTTGGGTTTGGAAAAATATATCTGCTACAGATCTGTGTGGGGGTGAAGATCTTAGTTCTTGTTTTAATTTTTGACAGCAATGAAAGTATATAAAATATATAAAGCAATTTGACATTGTGATTCAAATAATGTTAGTTGTCAAACTGACTTTACTACAGTTCAACTAAGTTTAACATATAAGCACTGTTTTGCCTTGCAATTCTAGGTTGAACTCATTGATATATTAGCAACATGCAGCAAAAGCTAATTTCTAAAGCTATTCCGAGTTCAACAGTAGTGGGTGAAGGCGGCACTGATTCATAGAACTGATGATGGCTGAGTCCATGAGAGTGAGTGTAGTTCACTACCGACACTACTGATCAATAACACATGACCAATTCAAACTTTTTCTACAACGTATCTATTGATAAATAATACAACCAATAACTATAGGCTTTAAAAATCTTAAAATTTTTCACAATCATTGTAAATTTGTCCAACTAAGTCGCCTTCTGCTCCACACATATTTTTACCACCATCACTTATAACACATCTTAGCAGATCCCACTTCAGGTTGTACGGATTCAGTATTTTTGCACCTCTTTGAAAATATTTTCTCCTGTGCTTGTTCCATGCAGACGATTCAGAGTCACTTCCAACTGCCAACTGTGCATTGACTCCTTGAATAAGCAACAGCTCAGCTGTATCAGTAACATCTGCCTAGTCATCAAGAGTCTAGGTAAAATACTTGAAATAATTTGCCTTGATTTTTAATTGACTACTGATGTTGTTCCCAATGTCCTTGACTTTTCAAGCAACTGTTCTTGCTGAGAGGCTAATAGTCTTAACTAAATAAGTTTTTTTCTCTGAACACATTTCTTTCTTTTTTTGCTGAGGAAGATTTGCCCTGAGCTAACATCTGTCGCTAATCTTCCTCTTTTGCTGAGGAAGATTTGCCCTAACATCTCTTGTCAACCTTCCTCTATTTTGTATGTGAGCTGCCACCACAGCATGGCCACTGATAGACGAGTGGTGTAGGTCCATGCCTGGGAAACTGACCCAGGGCTGCTGAAGCAGAGTGCACTGAACTTAACCACTAGGCCCCTGGGACCAGCCCTGAATACATTTCATTATCTGCTATAATCAAACACGAATTAATTAACTCATCATTGGTAAATGGCTTTCCTTGCTTGGCCCACAAATGAGCCACTCAGAAACTTACTTTAGCTGAGCCTTATTTCCATTCTTTTATATTTGTGAAGAAATTCTGCTGTGATGAGATACTTCACTTCACATTTTCTAAATGTTCTGCCCATTGTTTTCCTGAGTTGGGAGTACTGTGATGAGTGCTTAGTCTGGTTATGTCAAAGTGTGTGGTATTCTTTCAGCACAGCTATAGCATCATTGCATAATAAACACAATGCCTTGCCATCTAATTCAATAACAAAATAATCCACACTCCAATGTACCTTAAAAGCATGACATGCAAAGTTTACTTTTTTTCCTGTTTTTGACATGATGGGTATGCAATGGTAACAAAATAAATAAATAAAATGTTACAATATGGAGATATGCTTGGCACTCAAAATGCTGGGGGGTTATAACTGTATCACTGGGATTCCTAGTGCACTGAGCAGCAATATGAAGTGATGAGAGCACCATGTATGGTTTCTGTTGCAACTACTAAATTCTGCAGTTGTGAGAGCAGCCCTAGATAGTATGTAAACAAGTGTGGCTGAGTTCCAATAAAACTTTATTTATGGACACTGAAATTTGAATTTGATATTATTTTCACATGGCCCAAAATATTATTATTCTTTTCATGTTTTTTCAGCCATTTAAAAATGTAAAAGCCATTCTTAGCATGCAGGCCATATAAAAACAGGTGGTGGGTCGTAATTTGCCAATCTCAGATTGAACTCATTTTATCACAAAAGGCAATGTGGGATAGAAATTTGGCTCCCATGCACACAGTGCAGCTAGACTGCTCGACTACCTAAACTTGTCTCCTCATCTCTAAAATGAAGATAATGTTAGTATCCACCTCACAGGTTTCTCTGAGGATAAAGTGAGTGAATATGTAAATCATTTAGAACAGTACCTAGTATACAATAAGTGTACTAGCTGTTAATATTGTTTAACGAGTAGAATACAATTAGAAATGGATTTCAACTCCTATTAGCAACTCTGTATGATTTAAAACTCACTCTGGAGGTCTGAGGCAAGCAGCTTACTTGGATGAATATTACAGACGTCCTCCAAGTAAGATACTTCTCAGTATACCAACACCGATGTTTGCTATACCTCCCACAATCCTACCAGCACTGGCATTCCTAAGTATGTCAAACTGCTAAGCATTACTCCTTTTCTCAGGTGCTGGCCGCAACCTCGCCATAAGAATAATTTTTGCACAGACCATCTCTAATCTAAAGTTCTGCTGCATATCTAGATTAGTGAGCAAGTAGGAATAAAAGTGAAATTTTAAGAAGTAGTATTTTTGGCAATAATAATTTTATATTTGAAATTGATAAATAAATCATTCCACATGAGCGAATGAAAATTACAACAAATCTTTCTGCTGACTAAAAGGCCTTAGATGAGACTCAGTACAGATACACCTTTATTACTATGAAATCAATTATACTTAAATATATAAAAGCAACAAAGTTGGATTACAATTATTCATTATTCCATATGCATAAATGTCATCCCCCTGTCCACAATGCCCCCTTAAATATTTAAGACCAAGGACTCAAGAGACTAGGGACTGAGGGTCTTTTCTTTTCTTTTGGATCAGCTGTCTCAATTAGATGTTCCCTCCTACCCCACATTATGAAATATACACATTTGGACAGACAATAAAAGATGGTATACTTTACTTGTTTCTTTTTTTCTAATTCTTTTTGTTTGTTTTAAATAAATATGAATTACCTATAAGGGAAAAAATTCAAAATGTATTCATTAAAAGGTAGTTTGGAAAATACACAAAAGCAAAGTACCCAAAATAGTGATTTCAGTGAAAACCATAATAACTGCTCACCTACAACCAGGCCACATTCAGGACAGATCATATCACCAGCTCTGTAGTCCTCCACTAAAATCGCATCTGGATGGTTTGGACATGTGACTCTTGGAAGAGCATCCAAACTAAATGAAAAAAAATATATATATATTTTATATCCTCCCAACCAACACGTAACAAAGTAGTCTTTGGGGGGGAAAAAGGAGTATTTTGAACATTTTACCAATACTATATGTTTATAATACACTTAAGCTAACTTTTCAAAGTAAACATCCCAGGTTACTTTAAATTCTAGCTAGTAATTAACAAGTATATTCCATTGGAATTATTTTTTTATTTTATTGAGGTCATAATAGTTTATAACATTATGAAATTTCAGTTGTACATTTGTCAGTCACCATATAAATGTGCCCCTTTACCCCTTATGCCCACCCCTCAACCCCCTTCCCCTCTGGTAACCACTAAACTTGTCTCTCTGTTCATGTGTTAGTATATCTTCCATATATGAGTGAAATCACACAGTGTTTGTCTTTCTCTGTCTGGCTTAGTTCGCTTAACATAATACCCTCAAGGTCCATCCATGTTATTGCAAATGGACCGATTTTGTCTTTTTTTATGGCCAAGTAGCTGGAATTATTTTTTATAATAGTAACTGGTGTGTCGACATGGAAGGCTTTAAAAACTTAAAAGGAGAACAACTGTTTTTTCTCTTAACATGCAGGCTACTAAGATTTTTTAAAAGCTTGATTAGGATAGAAATGACTAGCCACCATAATAACCTGCAACATTATTATATATAACCATCAGGCTTGTGCCCCTTGCCACTTATTTCTCTGGCCAGAGAATAAATTTCAAGTCTGTGTTTTTCTACTTGCTAGTTACCTTAGCAATAGATTTAGAATAGTACACTGAAACTAACGGGCATGTAAATGAGGGTGGTAGATGTGGCTCTCCTGAACTTAAGATCTGATGATTTCATTTGGTCCAGAATTGAGTTTGTTAGCATTCTACAAATGGTTTCAAAAGCTACTTTTTAACCTATTTGTGATCAATTATTTTATTTTGAAAATAAAGCAGTTTGGCGAAGACATATCAGGCTTAAATGACCCGACAGAATCAGTTTAAAAAAGCAACAAAGATACTTAACATAGATTTAGTAGTTATTGCTGGGCGTATGACTTCAAAATCACAAATGTTTGGTATCATTGAAAATAAGTCCTCTCTAAAAGTTCACATGAGTAACACAGTAAAAGGTTATTTTATGGCCACCACAAATATACATCTAAAAGACAACATCAACCATTCTTATAGTATGTAAATAAGTATTTGTGGTTTTGGATAAAGTTTCTGGTGCTAGCAAATACAATTCAGAATGTTAACTCTCAACATAAAAGGTGATCCCATTGAAAAACTGATAAAATAATCCATATTCCGCAAATCTATATATTCGAGTTAACCAGAACACATCTTCGATCTTTTCATTGGAAAAATGGGGGCTAGGGGCTTGCTTTATACTCTCACTTATTCCATAAATTCCTATTAGGAAAATATTTTAATAAATTATGACAAATAATATATTAAGAAAGTATAAATTATGAAAAAGTATGTCAAAATACAGGAAAATGTTAGCAGAGTAACAGTAATTACAAATGTGTAGAATGGGCAGCCATGTGGCACACAGTGTACAAAGAAAACGACTGATATATTTTGCACTCTTAAAAAGTAGATAAAATATCTTGTAGAGTGTGTGTGTGTGTATATATATATAAATGAAATGGAAACATCTCAAAAATATGTTAGGTGAAAAGAGTACGGTAGGGATTTTATACAAAACTGGAAAAAGTATGAACTACGGTTATATGCAATAACATGGATGAATCTCAAATGCTGATCAAAAGAAAGTAGACACAGAGGAATACATATGCCATTTATATAAACTTTAAAGCGGGCAGACAAACCTATGGTGTCAGAGTCAGGATGTGGTTATCTTTGAGAAAGGGTAATGACTGAGGGCACAAAGGAGGCTTCAGGGTGCTAGCGGTATTTGATTTCTTGACCTGGGTGGGGGCTGTGTCTATGTGCTCACTTTGTAATTGACGCGTGCACTTAAAATGTGTGTGTTAACCTCATAAGACAGGTAAAAAGCAAGATAGACAACAGTGTGTACATTAGACTATATTTTGGGGGCAACAGAGATTAGAAGGATATGCATATAATTGTTAAAGCATAGAATCACTAGGAAAACACCACGAAACTGGTTACAATGTCTGCTTTGGGGGAGAATCAGACAGTTGGGAGACAGGGAAGGACGGAGACTGCTTTTCACTTTCCTTGTTTTTTGTACTATTTGTATATGTTACCTATCCAAAATAAAATGAAATCATGCTAAAGTAGTCAACTTTTAATCAAATTACCCACAACAGTAATACAAAAGAGGAACCAGAGGAGTGGTGGTGGGGGAAGTAAGGGAGAGAAACAATCGGAAGGAACGGAATAAACAACCACCACTGACATTAAACAACTGAGACTACTTAAGGAGCCAGATATTCCCAAACCTCATTTTAAAGCTATCATGTATTGGGTGCCTATGTGTCTAATGCCATACATATATTATTAACCTTCACAGCAACTCTGCAACAGAAGCATTATCTCTATTTTAAAGATTATGCTCAGAGAACGATTTGTCTGAAGTCACAGAACTAGTAAGTGATGGAGCTTACACATGAACTCAGAACATTTGTGCTCTTCTCTGTGAAGACACCAGGCAGTTTCATAGCCTAGCAACTGTACATCTTCCTCAGGGAAAAAACTACTAAAGGTAGAAATGCTAGCATTTACCTTTGTTCTCACTGGTAGCAAAACTCGAGATAGACAACTGCAATGATACGTATATTTAAGAGCCGGCCCCGTGGCTTAGCGGTTAAATGCGTGCGCTCCGCTACTAGCAGCCCGGGTTTGGATGGCGGGCGCGCACCGACGCACCGCTTCTCTGGCCATGCTGAGGCTGTGCCCCACATACAGCAACTAGAAGGATGTGCGACTGTGACATACAACTATCTACTGGGGCTTTGGGGGAAAAAAGGAGAAGGACTGGCAATAGATGTTAGCTCAGAGCCGGTCTTCCTCAGCAAAAAGAGGAGATTAGCATGGATGTTAGCTCAGGGCTGATCTTCCTCACAAAAAAAAAAAAAAAAAGAGCTGAATATGTTTAGAAAAAATTTATTTCAAACATTTTTTTTTTAACAAGTGAAGAAAATAAGGGCACACAAAGGAAAGTGTGCTTTTTGGGTAAAGAATCTATAAAGTGAATCTACTGTGTTTAACTCCTGCAACATTTCCTACAAATACAATTTCCTATTCTACAATATGCAAAAGCTGTGCCCAAATAGGCCCACATTTACCTTTGAGATCTACTGCCATGAGAGAATATGTCGTATGTATGTGTCTTTGGGAAGCTTACATTTTCCATTTATCTACATGGAAGCCTTACCTGACAGAGCAACACTCAGATAGAATGATTGAGCATTCAATCATAGAATTAGAATCAGTAAACAAGAGTGTCACTGGCTTTAAGAGTTATTTTCAAACAGGCCATTAGCTAAAGCTGCCTCTCCCCACTTCCCCACCTTTTAAAAAAAAACCACTAACATAAAGTAGTAAGTCTTGGCAGTTAACAGAAAGGGCCTGGACTTCTCTAGCTATTTTGTGATGATGGCTTTCATTGGGAACTCAATTCCACAGAGGATAACCAGCTTAGAAAAATTATTCCAGAGTTGCCATCCAGAAGCTATAGAACTCGATACTTTTAATACATTATGAGTTAACTTAAGGCCATTTGTATGATAACAGGAAATAGATATTTGAGACTCTACACTCTGTTCTAACACCAATCTTGGAAAAGTCACCAGTGGCATGACTCAGTTTACACGTATGCAAAAATACCAATATCTACCTCATAACAGTAATGAGAGATATAATTAGAGTCTGCAAGCATTTTCCAGGTCACAGGATTACGGGCTGTCTCTAAGAGCACTGCATGCATTTCCTGTAGATATGTATGCACCACATTTTAAAAACATATTAAAGACTGACTTCCCAGCACATGTAAGTAATTTTCTGCAGGCAAGATTTTCTTCAGGAGTATGCAGAAGACAACATTTGTAAAGAGATCTCTTATAAGGGAACTTATCAACTCTTTGGAAATGCCTCAGCTTTCACTTAAGAGGGCCTCTGGGATGGTAACCAGTTTCCATCAGGCTTAGCAATGCTGACGTCCCTAACATTCTAGCTGTCAGACTGACAGGGGCCTAGAATCCTTTCCCGCTCTTTGGACTCACGGCCCCTTGGGCTGGTTAAGCCGTAGGTGGAAAAACAAACGCAGAAAAAAATAACAACAAGATAAGACGGCTGAAACATCCGCAAAAGAGGCGAGGCCGGGCCTGGGGACACAGGGACCCCCACAGGGTGGTGCCTGGGTAAGAAGACGACCTAGGACGCCGGGGTGGTAACGCCGACGCTCGGTACCCGCTGCGACACCCCTGACAGCCCTGCCGTCTGGAAGTGCCTTTGTCCGGGCCGGCCGGCCAGCCCCGCCGCCTCTCCCCGCACCTCCGGGGCGCTCCGCCCGACGCAGCCGCCCCGGCGGCCGCCTGGCAAGCCCTGGCACTCCCGCCCGCACCCCTGCGAGCCCGGCTCGGCCGGACGTACTAACCGGCTGGTAGACGCCATCTTCACGGCCACTGCAGTCCAGCAAGAAGCAGCAACAGACGCAGCGCAAACAGGAAGACGTTGTGGCGAGAGGACGCGCCAAGATGGGCTTTTATAGGCGAATGGCACACGCCGTCGTAATGGGGCGCGGCTACGGGTCGCGAGAAGGGCCAAGAAAGATGAGATCCTGTAGGCCACGTGCTTTGCGTTTCCTTATTCTCCTATTCCGTTTCTGTAATTTGCCATGCTGCTGGGCGAATCAACAAATCTACCCAGGAAAACTTTCCAGCGAACCCTGAAAAGGAGCTACAACGGAGATAACCAGAACTTGACTGAATTAAAACATAAAAACAACCCGGGCTTCGTGGTGGGGGCAAAGCTAACTAACCCCTCCACCCGGGAGTCAGTTACTCTAGTTTAAGCGCAATTCTTACTTGCCCAGAGGCGTGATTCCCCTAAGGACTTTGGAATAAAAAGAGAAATTCACTTAGGTCAGCTAGAACAGGTGTAGGTTCAGGCTCTGTCATCGGCAAGCCAGCTGTGTCTTCTTAAGCACGTCCCTTCGCCTTCGGTGCAAGGGGTAATATTATGTGCCTTGCATACCCTTTTAGAATTGGCAGGAGATGAAACAAAACCATGTGAGAGCACAGTGCACTAGTAAGGCAGGGAGATATGGGGCCCTATCCTGATTGGTTTTTTTCATGGGCTTTGCAAATTTGGCTGACAGTTGAAGCATAGAGAACTTAGCAGAACGTTTAGATACCGCAAAAGGTCCCTAGATTTATTAATTAGCCAAACTAACATCAGAATAGTAATAATAATAACAATAACACTACCACCACTTTGCTGAAAACAAACCACCCTTGACCCTGTGGGGATCGGCGGAAAGAGGGTGATGCGGGTTCTGTGAGGATGAGGACTTATAATGGCTGCTTTGTTCTTTTGGGCATAGGACTTAAACGCTGCTGAGCACTCGTTGTGTTCTTGAAAAGTGGGGAGGACTCGCTTACTTAGAAAGAATAAGGGGTGTAAGAGGCAGGAGTTTTGGAACTGAAATCTAGATGGGGATGGAAGAGAAAATTTTTTTTTCTGACTTCCAGTCTGTAATTCTGTAGTTTAAAAACTTGACTGTACGTGTGTGTGTGTGTCAGGGGAACCTCTTAAGATTTGGAAAAGTTTCAGAAAGGCCAATTCATTTCAGCTGTGCCAAGTGCAACCAGGAAAGGGCTTGGGGGTGCTCCACCCCAAGCCAGTAGGAAGTTTTCCTGGTAGAGCATCTTGGCTTGGGAGAAGAGGGAGAGGAGGAGCAGGGCAATCGGGCACCTCTTGAGGATCAAGAATTAGGACCTACCATGTAATGGATTCATGGTAGGCATTCAGTAATGTTTGTGGAAGGAAGAAACCATCAGAGAAATTGACACCCCAGAGGAAGGTAGCTGGGCAATTGGTTAAATTACTCTGCCCAGCCTGGAGAGTCTCTTATCTGTCATAACCTAGTTAGGATTTCTTTTATATTAAAATAGAAGAAGTTTAGGTAGGTCAATCCTTTCCTTTTGTTAATACAGCATTGGCAATTGATAAAGTATTTTTATCAACATTATCCCATTTAATCTTTATATTTGACTCTGAGATTAAAACACACACACACACACACACACACAGGCACAACTGGGGTTCGACACACAACCTAGGAATCAATGACTCAGACAGCATTTACCAAAACTTCTGGTTTGTTATTATCATCATTTTTATTTACCTTAATTATGTGGATTAATCAATTAAAATAATTTAAGTCAATTATTTAAATTAAATCTTTTTTTTATTTAAAAATTTATTTTAAAAGTTTATGTCAGGGCCGGCCCTGTGGCTTGGTGGTTAAGTGCGCGCGCTGCAATGCTGGTGGCCCGGGTTCGGATCCCAGGCACGCATCAAGGCACCACTTCTCCGTCCATCCTGAGGCCGAGTCCCACATACAGCAACTAGAAGGATGTGCAGCTATGACATACAACTATCTACTGGGGCTTTGGGGGGAAAAAATAAAATAAATAAAATCTTTAAAAAAAAAAAAAAAGTTTATGTCACTACTGTGGAATCGCAACTTGATGTGCTAGTTATAGTTCTTCTAAAGTATAAAATGCTTTACATACGTAGTGGATGATTTTTTAAAAGTTGTGACCCACCTAGATATATCTCTTTAAAAAAAAATTTAGTGAGGTATAATTACGTACCACAGAATTCACCTGTTTAGAAGTGAATGATTTTTAGTAATTTTACCAAGTTGTGCAATAATCCCCACAATCCAGTTTTAATACATTTCCATCATCCCAGTAAGATCACTCATGTGCATGTACAGTCAATGCCCATTCCACGTCCAGCCCAGGAATCACTAATCTACTTTCTTTCTCTGTAGATTTGCCTTTTCTCGTCTTTTCATATAAATGGAATCGTATGATATATTGTCTTTTGGTCTGGCTTCTTTCACTTGGCATAATGTTGTGGAGGTTCATTAGATCTATCTTGTGGCCTCACTTTTGGAAACGCTGGTATATAAGTGTCTGTTATAAAAGGATCTGTATGGTGATGTTGGAGAAGATGACAATTTCCTAACTTGAGCAAGGTTTGACAAATATTGATTTGGACATTACATGGCATGTTCTGCTGAACTAGGAAGAACAGAGGATTCAGTGAAATGTATGATCAGATCTGACTTGGACTCTTTGGAAATGGGATGAAATGTCTAGAATATTAGACAAGCCTCATGTGCCTGGTGGCTAAGGGGCCATATGTATTGCTTCTAGAAATGTGAGGTTTTTACTTAATTTTTCAGTTTTTTAAATCATGTATGAAGATGTTCAAATACACTAAAAATTAGAATAATATAATGAATCCTCATTAAACAATTATCCTGATTAAACAATTATCAAGATTTTGCCACATTTGTTTCATGTATCCTTTGCTTGCCTTTTTTTCTCCCTTTGCTAAAGTGTTTTAAAAACAAGTCCCATATATCACCTTGACCCATACATACTTGAGTGTACATTTCTAAAAAATATGGACTTTCAACTCTTTTTTATATAGCATTAGAATACTCACTAAAGTACCAATGATGTCTTTCCACACTAAGTTTTCAGTTGGTGCTTAATTCTCCCGGGCCTGCTTCTTGGTGGTTTGGTTTCACCAGGCAGCAGGGTAAGCCCCTGCTGAAGGTGGCAGGGAGCCAGAGAGGGAACAGGGATGGCCGCACATGGAGCTGCAAGCAGTAGGGGAGTTCTTGAAAGTAGGCCTGAGGTCCTTCTGCTTTGGGCCATCTGTCAGGCACCTCACATTCATCCTGTCTAATTCTTGGTTATCTGGTCAGGCGAGTATTATTGTTTTCCTTCTAAAGGCTTAGAGAGGTTGAGTAGGTAGATTGCCCAGAGTCACACAATAAGTTAGTGGTGGAGATAGAATTCAGAGCCAGGAATGACTGACTCTAAGATTTTCCCACTTTTATGCATGCCTACTATGTAACTGTTATTGCAAGACTATATTTTTAGGCCCAAATTACTGTGCCCTGGGAAATACAGATTGTATTTGTAGAAGCATTCACTATCCTTTTGATTCCTTAATAAAGGCATAAAGCTTTATTTAAATTCAGGTAGAAGTAGTAATAAAAATGAATAATCATGATATTAAGAACAGCAGCAAACACTCGTATAGTGCTTATTATGTGCCAGGTACTATTTTAAGGCTTTTTATATATTAGCTTATTTAATCTTTCCAACAGCTCCATGAGTTGGATACTATTATTGTCCCTATTTTATGGATGGAGAAATTGAGGCACAGAATAGTTAAGTAACTAGCCTGAAGTCACACAACTAGTAAATTGCAAAGCTGGGATTTGAACCGTGGTAATTTGGCTCCAGAGTCTATGCAATATGCCTCTTAATAGAAACTCAATATACAGAAATTCAATTTATAGACTTTAAGATCATGGAATGGATTCAACAAGCAGTGTACCTGCAGCAATCATGTGGGCTTGATTTCATGGGGCAGCTGTGCTGTAAAATATTTTGGCCAGCTGTCCACGTAACGACACTTGTGTTTGTCAAATTCTGTGCTACCTAAACTGAAATGTGGCTGGCTCATATCCCACTGCTAAACGTACTTGCATATGTGAACCTGAATTTAACTTTTCCATTTGTTTGTTTGTTGATTTATTTGAAATCTTTGATTCCTCAGTGTTGGTGGCTTGTCCTCCATTGGAGACTAAATCCAGCTTTTCACTGAGAAAAGCCAGCAGCTTCTCCAAGTGCTAGGAAGTAGAATACAGGCTTAAAACTTTAATAAGCTATAAACAGAAAATATTAACCATCAGTTATTTCCTTACAGAATCAGGGAGGAAGATTGCTAGAAATTAATTCACTTTTTAATTCAATGTTCAGTGAGCAGTAGCTTTCTCTTACATTTCTAAATTACTCTGATAATAAAACAAAATAACTCAAAAGGGCTCACGTTAATAGCTTGTGACCTTTAAAATTAATATTTTTTCCAAAGATATCATTTGGCATTAAGTATGTGACTTCAAAAGTTATGCTGCACTATTTAGTGTTGTTTTATCATATGTCTTGAAGATAATATTTTTTCCCAAAATAACCACTTTCTCATTTTATAATAAAAAATATGGAGAAATTGAATGTTATATGAGACTATAATTTCCTTAAAATGTTTTTAAGTACACTTTAAGTACATTAATGTAGATAAGATTTGCCTTTAAAGTCTTATTAATGATTTTCAAGTGCTCTCAAGAACTACTGGGGAAAAATGAGAACATGAAACATGTCCATATTCATGTGACCTGTTACTTGACACTTTCTTCAAGACTGAATTTTAACATTAGATGTTTACTCTTTCCATGAAAATCACATGCTAAATACCTGCTTGTGTAACCTAAGTACCTATTTTCAAATAATCTCATATTATTTAAATATTAAATTAAAACTCTGAAAGTATTACTTATAAAGTATAACCATGTGATGAGAATATAAAATTGCTTCTCTCATTACTGTCATGCATTGCTCACTGTATTATAAATTGATACAACCCTTTTAGAAAGCAATTTGACAATACTCCAAGAATGATTTAGATGTTAAA